CCTTCTCTTTTCACAAGAAAATTAAATTAATCTACATGTATTAAGACATTTTTGCTAATCTAAAATAAAGCAGATTAAAGATTAAAGCTCTCTAAATGCAAGGAGACAGAAAAGTGCTTCTGCACCCCTAGATCTGAGTAAGAAAGCTGGTTAGATCTTGTCTTCCCTTAAGATAGCATCAAATATACTGTCCTTCCATTTATGCCAAAATTTTTATTATAAAGAAGAAATCTGGAGTCACAGGCCTGATAGGAGACACAGCCTGTTCAGATCCCATTCCCTTTTGTACCTGCTCAGCTTGAGAATCTTGGGATTGTCCTGTGCAGGGCCAGGAGTTGGACTCAACAATCCTTTGTGGGTCCCTTCCAACTCAGGATATTCTATGATTCGAGGAGATTCCCTACACACAGGGAAAATTAGGTGGAACCGTAAAGAGTGAAGATGGAAGTGTGGTACCAGGATGGTTAAATCACTTGTCAAGGAGGGTATTATCCAGGTTTGTATATCCTGAACCTAGGAAAATCTCCCCAGTGATTTCAGATATGTTGTACAAATATTTCTGGTTATGAGATTTTATTTTCTCTGCATAGAAGGACACCACCACATAGAATGACACCTAACACAACAGGTGTCCTGTGACTGAGACTGGCAAACGTCAATTCATTCATAAATTCAGGATTTTAATGCACTTATTTCCCTGGTCTGATTTTTAACACCACATGGTTCTGAGAATGGCTTGTCTGCTAAATGGAAAGGCCTTAGAAAAACTATGGGGAGAAATGCTAATGATGGATTCATTTTGGGTATGAAAGAGGTTCTATTCACGAGGGGAGCTGCACTTACATGATGTTGCTATGAGGGAAAGGGAGATGTTTCTATGGTACTGAAGAAGGAAGGGAAGAAGTCCTTTTAAAAATTATGGGGTAAAAATGTCCCATTCCAAATAAGGGAGGTGGATGCAATCTATCAAAACATAAGGACTGGGAGCCTCCAAGGGTCTATTAATACTTTTACCATTAGCTGGCAATAAACAGCAACTGCTCTAGTTTTCTCATTTTAAAATTAATATTATGAAACTTTCTGCATGGAGACTGCTTAATTAATTGACATTTGTAGAGCAATTTCAGATCCTTGGAGGAAAAGGCCTGAAGAAGAACTAATCCTTGCGGCAACAAATAGCTTGCAAAACTCAAGATGGTTTCCAAATAACTCGATGGTGATGGGAATAAAAAGACCACACTGATCATTTCCACATATTCCTCTGCCTTCTTTGCTTGCCCTTTAGTATTTCCTATAGTAAAACAGATAAAAGATGCAAATATGGTGGGGTTATGGGTGGGGGAGAGAAATAGAAAGCTCTTTTCATAAGGTCAGTGGATTAGGTTTAGAAGAAGAAGGAAAAATCAATTAATGAAGGCAGAAAAGAAAATAAAGAAGTTATGAACTGAATTCATCATAGCTTTGTGGTGTGCCTGTGCTCGGTACTTCACTAAGAAACCAATGTATGTATATAGGTACAAGGCAAAGTACAGGTTCCTAAGCACAGGGAATAGAATAGGAGGAGGGAAGCTAAAACTGACTCACTCTTTCTCCAGGATCACATGCCTTCACAAAGGGGAAGCTTCTGAAAAGAGAGAGATAAGAGCAAGTTGAACTGTTTTTCCTGATTTTTACATTGTTGATTCATTCTTTCCACATAACAGGGATGTTTCGGATGTTTTAGGTAACAGCAAGAGGAAGAGGGTAAAGAGGTGAAGATGAAGAGTGCACCATCTTGCTGGTGTCTTGTTTGCTTGGCTTGATGAGCCAGATGTTCTGTCTTTGACTACACTGCAACAACACAGTTTATTTTTTACCAAATGACTTGTGGTACCAGATGCAGCTGGTCAGCATGACATGAGATTTGCTAAATGACTGACTTGATGGATAATCAAGAAGGCTGCTGAACTGCACTGGAAAGCAGGTGGGAGATGGCTTTTCTGTAGTACAAGAAGTGGGATCAAATGCTGAGAAATTCTCTCGCCATTCGTGAGTTGCTAAAAGCACCTCTGAGCAGTAAAGAGCAGCACTCTGCTGCCCACAGGGCAATAGCAGCCCCTTTCTTCTGAGGCATTGAGGAGTTCTGCACTGCCAATGGACCAGATGTTTTTCCTGGAGCTTCTGGATCTATATCAGGCAGCACTGTGACATGCTAATATTCAGAAAATTGAGTGTAGATACTCTCCCATCCTCAAAATATGCTCATCTGATGAACTGTTTTCCTTTAAAAGCCTTCTCTAACCTGGCTGTGGGGAAAAATAGGCAGAACTGGACTAGAAGAAAACTTGAAATCTTCTGGGAAGGTGTGACCCGTGGTTTCCTCCTGTCGTAGCAACAACTGTTGTTGCTCAGTGCTGCAGAATAATCCTTTTCCTCCCACTCTCTGGGAAGGCAGGATCAGGAACAGTGAACACGCTTTGCATCTCTGCCAGGGACAAGGAAACAAAGGGGAATAACAATAAATCCCTTCCGCACTGCAGCTCCTTTTCTCTGTTCATCAAGTATGTTGGCTGTGGTATCAGAGGAGATGTTGCTTATCTGCCTTTTGAAGTTAAACAGTCTCAAGGGATGCAGGACACACATTCTTTGCCCCCTAAGCTTCAGTGGCTCCACTCTTTTAAGGGGTACTAATTACAGCAGCCCTTTCTTGGCTCCATGGCAGTGCAGACTATAGTGATACCCTGCTCATAGCTCCCAACACTCTCTTCCTCCTCAGCTGTGAAATCCAGAACCCTTTCTCACACTGGCTTTCACTTCAGTCTATCCTGACTCCAGTCTCTCAGAGTTTCTTTGTATTCCTGTATTTTGCCTCCTCTCCATTGCCATCTTCCTGCTGGGGTTTTGTTCTCCCTGCAAAATTCCAGCCATTTCTCCTGACTAAACACCATTTTATTGATTTGTTTTTGTTGCCATTCTTCCTGTTCTCATCTTTCTGTTTCTTTCTGTATTAATTAGATAAGAAGTTCCTTGCAGCAAGGACTATCTTTTCCTCTGTGCTGAGCATGGCAGGGATGTATCCTCTTTCATCTCTTCTCAATTTTGTAATAAAACTCCTTTATTCTTCAGTGAGATGTTTGGGCAAAGAAGTATTGGAGCCTACAGTAGCAAGAACTGTCTTCTTGTACACATGGATACTTTCAAGACCACATTCCAGAGTCAAAGCAAAATTTGTTTTTCTTTAAATTGCCTTCACCTTGTTTAAATGAAGCACATTCACATGACACTGTTCATCCCAGGAGCATTTATAGCACTTCTTTAGAGGCCTGTCTGTTATGCCAGTATATCTCTGAAATTGCCCTACTAATATCAACTGAGTTAAAATTTAACAAAACTAGATCAAGGACTATGTATGAAAATACTTTACAACAACTTTGCAGCTGAATATTTACAGTTCTCTGGAAACCTCATCCTAATACTTGGCAGCAGTCAAAAAAGCAAATAAAATATTAGGATGCATTAGAAAAGTAATGAAGAAAGAATCAGAACTGATCATTATGCCACTGTATAAATCTATGCCTTGCCCATATCCTGAATACCAATGAACCCATCTTGAAAAGGAGCTGTTTAGACCTAGAAACAGTAGAAGGATGGGGCATGAGGATGCCTAGAAACACAAAAAAAATGTTATGTAAGGAGAATGAAAAATAGTGAAAATGCATTAGCTTGAAGAAAAAATGTCTGACAGGAAAATATGATGGAGGAATCTGCAGTAATGAGTGCTATGAAAAAGTGGAACTCAGAAAAAACCCTTGTTATTTTTATTTCAAAAGAATTAAGGAAAAAACCTAATGAAGTAACAGTGAGTGTTTTTTCACCTAGTGTCTAATAAAACCATGGGCCTTATTTTTGGAGAACAATTGGGATGCCAAAAATCGGCCTTACAAGGGTTAAAAATTATTGGGTCAGGAAACAAATGTAGCAAGGAGAGAGGGCCACTAAAAACTATTAAATGTTATAACAGGAGGGCTCTTATGAACTCAGAAAATCCCTAAAAAAAATCAGACACCTGATTCCTAGGAGTGCAGAAATAACTACTCTGCCTCTGCTATTTTACATGTTCACTATATATCTGTAATTGATCTCTGTGAGAAACACCAGATTGTTCTAGATGCAGATTGGTCTTGCCTTGCTGTGTTTGTGTTCTTGTGGCCTTATTTTTGCATCTATGAAGAGAAACTTATATTCCAAGAAGCAAAAATAGAGATTGACAGTTTCCCCACTACAATAAAGGCAAACTTAATTAATTTCAGCTGAGAAATAGGTCTCAAGTCTTTCACTTTAATATTTAAAATTTAAAGCTACAACCAAGTAACTGTGTTTGTGTGGGAATATAGTTAAGATATACACTATTTCATTAGTAACACATAAATTTTCATGCAAGAGGAAAGAAGCCCAGAATACTTCTGTAATTATTAATAACTAATAGATGTCTCTTACATATACATCTTTCTATACATCCATGCATAGGTAGATTTATCTTCTGCCTTCCTCCTCCTTTCTCCAGCCCACATCATACAGTCTGAAAGGATCCATTTGAGAGGACTCAATCAGATGTTACCCTAAAACCCCTCTTTATCAAAAGAAAGAGAAAATCTCCTTCAGCTGGGAGACAGAGAAAGACTAAATTACTCCATGGATGAATGCAACAAGAGAAGACTGGATTGCAGTGGAATATATTTTGTTTCAATACTAGAGCTCTTCCAGAGCAGCTGTTCAGTCCCTGTCCAACCCTAACACAGACCAACATCTGCCTCGAGAGGTTTGTTCCCTCATTCATCCTCCATCAGGTTTCTTCTGTGTGTGTCATGCTATGTTTTATTAGGAGGAAATTGGCTTGGAGCTTTCCATAGGTGTATATGATTTTTTTTTTAGGTGATGTCACATGGTATCTAAGATGAAATCAGGCATCTATGATGTCATATGTAATCAGAGGGGCAATGAACAATCCAGACCATCCACTCATCAGTGCTGTCAGAGCCAAGAACCTGCATCAAATTGATAAAGATCTTTTGGACCATTTCAAGGCCTTCCTTCATCCCTCCTTTAATTCTATCCAGGAATCCAGTACATATTTAGGAGTAATAGTTGACAAAGCAATGCAAATGTACATGCAAACCATCTGAATTGAACAGGTAAACTAGATGCCACATCCTGTCCCTGGCACAGAGATGAGCTTAAAGTGTTCAGTTTAGGTCCTGTATCTGACTTCAGGCTTAAGTCTTTGTGCTGCTGCTCATATCTAGACATTTCACATCTTTAAAATGTAATATGCAGGTGATAATGGGAAAATCCCTTGCCTCTGACTTTAATCAGGAAATGGAAAAGCTTGGAGCCAAGGGGAAGGGAGATGAGTGGGAGATCTGACATAGATGTAGTAAAGGGAGTGGGTGATGTTTGATTTTCTCTTCTTAGAGTTTTTATTTTTGAAATAAGACAGTAGCTAAGATGCTAAAATTAAATTCTGAGGGGGACTCTGAGTTTCAGGATCTTCATTACTGCCTTGCTTTGGATCTAAAACAGGCTGTGGGTGTGGGTGTTTCTTTCCTATTTTAAGTTAGCAAATTCCTCAGGGCCTTCCCTGTTCTGCTTTAAAAAACAGCTGACTATTTCTTAGCTGCACAAAACCCACTGGGATTTACTAACTTCAGAGCCCTTCAGACCCTCAGGAAGTTTTGGCTCTTATCTTTACTCTGGGGCCACTGTGTGTTAAAGGGCTTGTTTGTGACACTGCCATTTGGAACATATTCAACCTGTTGGTAGCAGTTGTCAGTAGGAGACTTATGATTTCTTCTGCCCACTGACAGCAGAGTCGGAAAGGGTCTGGTAACTGATCAGCAAGAGTCTGAACCAGTGTCTTGAACTACAGCATCCTAATACACTGATAAACACAGGTTTGTTAATGCTACGTGGTTTGTGAATGGACCTAGCAAGGGTCAGGTCAACATAAGTAGGAGCCTTTGTGATTACTTTTGGCATCTAGGCTGGTACTTAGATGGGAAAATGAGCATTAGTCCATAACTATGCTTCTTCTGTCATGCTAGACAGCTCATGCTTTCATGATAGGAAAGATGGCCTGTCTCTGGAGGGGAAGGCTGATGATGCTGCCTGCTTTCCATGGAGCATCTGCCTCTGTATTACGTGAGTAGCCAGATGCAGAGTGCATGAGACAAGAGATTATGTTTATGCATGCTGGGTAGTGAAGAGGAAAAGAGACTGATCAGCCTGCTTGGTTTCACTGATGAAAATAAGTACTGGAGTCTCTTCTTTGAGATAAAAAACATGGTACTATGACAATGGCCGTACTTCTGTTCCCATTCTTTGAGGAGGTGCCTCATCACTAAAACATGGTTGGAAAATCATCATTACAGTAGCATATGGAAGTCAGTGCACAGATGATCAGATTCCTTCTGATTTCCCTTTTCTGAAGAGGATGCCTTTTATTATTGAGCCAGCAAAGCACAGAGAAGTCCGTTGCTGGAATCCTGCACAGTTTATGGATTGATAGCAGGACCATCTATTGTGTTGACAGAGCTGCTGTTCATGCACATTAAGTTTATATACTGAACACCTTCATGAATGAATAGGGGCAGTTACCATGCTGTGGTCTGTTTACAGGAATAAATAACTTGATTAGATTACATCTTTTATTATCATGATCAAAAGCAACAACACACAGGACAGAATAATGGCCTTAAACCTTTCAGCTTGAAAACGTATCCACATTTGAATAATAGGAGTGAAAAAAACTCCTTTTTTTTAGACTTAGTTTTATATTTAGTGACTGAAAAATTAAACAAACCCTTACACATCTGCAGTTGAACTGGGTGCCTTGTGATTTCAGTCTAGCATTTGGGAGGATGGATGCACCACAGGATCTGCTCCTTCTGGCATTAGCCCTTGGACTGTCTTGCGAAGGACAACTTGAGCACTTTTTCAGGTGCTCTGGTACCTGAATGTTGCAGGAAGCATGTGCACCCTAAGCCATTTTTGCTTCTGGTTTTGCAATCCCAGCCTGCCACCTGATTTCAGTGTAGTTATTTACTGCATAACCAGTCAGAAAACACTTTGTTACTGAATCAATTACCATATGAATGTAAACAAAATCTTAGTTGTGTTTCAGCAATCCCTAGCTATAGGGTGTGCAGACCTACAGTGCACAAACCCCACCCTCTTTAAAGGAGGAACACTACTCTCCTCCCATATATTTGGTCTTTTTCCAGCTGTTACTATGAATTCCTGTTCTTTTGATAACACTGCTGTCAGCAAAGTGACGACATGACCACTGTCTGCACTGTAGACTATTTGCCCTTCCTTGGTACTCTGTGGTGAGAGAAGGGTTGCCTTTTCTTCCACTGCCCTTGCCATCCTCATGGGTAAAAGGGAGGGATAAAAAAGCTGCTACATGGACACCTTCACTGTGTTACTCTTTCCTTTCCCTTTTTTTTTAATGTCCTGACCCTGACCGATTTTCAGGATGGGTAGTAGCTATCTTTGTTTGAGAAAACCTCTCAAGACTGACATGTTTTTAGAGCAGAGCCCTTCTAATTACATTCCTCACAGGATAACCATCCTGAAGGAGTTGCATAATCCTCCCTTGCTGTCCTGCTGATGAGCTGCAAATTGACACTATGTAAAAATAGTCCAAGCTTGGCCTCCTTTCTTCTTTTGAGACAGTTTTAGAGAGCTTCTCCTCTCTTCAGAGCATCACTTACAGATTTGGTTATTTGCATGTGGTGTGACTTCCTTTAAACTCTGCTCTATTCATCTCTCTTTTTTTCCTTTGCATGCCTGTAGTGTTAACTCTGGGCTTAACTGCTTTTTAATGTATAGAAAAGCCCGTGTGGCTGCAGAGAAAGGAGTCTTCATTTTTGTATGATTCTTTAATTCAAAATCAGCTCTCCAGTTTCTGCTTTTTATATTATTAGTAAAAAACTAAGATCTTTGTAAAGGACCAGGTCAGGGAAGGAAGATTTGGCTTAATCACAGCCTTAGACATACCTTAAATCCTGCTCCAGATTGTGATGGGGTCATTGTTTTCCTTCCTTGGATTTTAACCTAAATGAGTCCATGATGCTCAGTGGACTAAAGAAAAAGAAAATTTAAACAGCAGGGGCAAAATTTTGAGAAAGAGTTGAAGGAACAGAGAGAGTATTTGACTGGTACTTAGCGTGATGAAAACCTTTTCTCCGGACCAGACTTCTTGGAGTGAGTGTTCAGAATGAATGCTGAAAATACTCTGCAAACTGATGAGTTTCTGGCAGGAAATCTGTCTGGTTATGACTGATAATAATGAAAATGTGAATCACTTTATAATTTTATATCACAGATTTCATTCCTACATTCTGAGTAAGCTGATTTTTTTTTTCATTTCTTTTGTATTCTCACAGCTCTCAGAATAACAAAGACCGTAGAAATGTCTGGATAGGTAGACACTCAGCTAATTAAATCTATGAGTGAGATCAGAAATGCATTTGTGAAAAATTCAGTGTAAGTTCACAGAATGTCTTTGCCCTGACATGAAATCAACCTCCAATTAAATGGATAAGATAAAGCAATAATTGGAGAAAAGGTAAATTGCAGCTTGCACTTCATACAAGTTACGAATTAGAAGATTTATCTGATTGACTCAGATAAACAGTTGAGTCACAGTAGTCTAACAAATTCCCTTGCATCTGCTGAGTCTCAGTAATTTATTCTTCTGCTCATTAAAGGAGATACTAAGTGGGCTCATTTGCCTTTGTTTAGCCATATGCATGGAGTCACTTAATGCACCTCAGCAAATTGTCTGCTGATACCACCTGAGAACAATGTTGGGATGTCTGGTGATCATGATCAAAAGTAAATGAACAAAAACTGATCAGCTGAAACTAGTAAAGAAAAGAATGAGAACATCCATCTTTATTCCTGGAGGACTTAATGTGACATTGAGACCAGGTGAATGAAATACAAATGGAAAGACCCTTTATCTTTACTTTCAGAGAGACCAGTATGGTCTATGTTACCATCAGACTTGTGTTATTCTGGGAGATATTCTCACTTGATGGAATGAAGGAGAATGATCTCTTTTCTGTCACGTCTCCCAAACCCAAGACAGACCAAGATCCTTGCTTGCAGTGTGAAACTTCTGTTTGTGTTTCTTCTTTTTCTTGTTCCTTCTTATTTACCTTTCCCTTTCTTCCCTTTATTCCTTATCTTCTTTTTCTCACCAGTTACTAACTGTGTTTTGTAGGAAACCATGTCCCAAAACCAAACAATCTGCAGTGACATACAAAATCGAGTACAGATTTGATGCTTCTCAAAGAGAATCAGATCTAACATGTTGGTTAATGCTGAACTGAAATAATCACTAAAATATGAGATTGTGTTTATGCTATTGAGGATACTGTGGTGTGGTTGTTCTCCTCTGCAGTGTAGTAAGATGGAGACAAAATATTGCATCCTCCTTTTACTACTTCTTCCCTGTGACTGTTTCATATTTTGCTTTCAGGAAACTAGGACGACTGACCTCAAGTAAACATGAAGGTTCCAGCCTGCCTTGACTATCTTTTTCCTTATTTTTCCCTAACGAACAGTTTGAATACTGTTGGGTCAGAGGGGAGAAGTGGTACTGCTTTAAGAACTATGCTTAATGATTTACATTTCAACTATCTCTCTCTGCTTCTGTTTTTTAGTAAAAGATGAGAGATTTTTAATGATAATTATTTATTGATGGATTCAAAAAGCTTCTATGATCAGAATTCCAAGCCATTTATCTAATCAACTTAATGTAGCAAAGATGGAAACTAATATTTTGGAGAGGTGTTTTAATTGTACAGATATTCAGATTCCTTTGACTTCATCTTTGTGCTTCTGTTGAGTATATCGGAATACAAAAATACAGATGTATTTGGATTAACAGTTGCATGAGTAGTAATCTATGTTTCATCTACTGCTGAAGTATTGTATATGTGGATAAGGGTATGCTGTCCACGCAGAAATAACAGTCATGTCTACTGGTGTTTGTCTTTAACCTTCCTGAAGGTTGCATTTAATTTTCAAATTTTCACGAATCTTTTATGGATCGTTCAGAGGGAGGTATTTCTTCCCTAATCAACCATATGATCCTTCAAGTTGTCTCTTCAATGTTAAGAATAGAAAATGAGGGGTTTATTTCTGTACTAAAGGAGAATTTTGAGTGCTATATCTCTATGTTCCTTAAAGCAGAAGCCATAGGCACGTTAACAAGACATGTATGCCCATCCTCTTCTGTCTTTTGTGTTGATCTGAAGAATAGGGGAGATTTATGGATGGGAAAACAGCTTGGAGGAAGAGATAGGAAGAAAATTGATCAGATATGAATAGTGCTACAGGAGTTTTAGCAAAGGAGCAGGAAGAAAAATAATACAGAAATGAAAGAGAGAGTGAACTTCTTAAAGATCGTATTTCGCAGTTCTTTATAGCTGGCTGTTCCTTGTTCTATATGTATTGGGGAAGGAAATATAGAAAAATTGCAAGTACAGCGATAAATACTTCTCTGTGGTGCAAATGACTTCATAAAAACTCAACTTGCACTAGTGTTTTATCGTCCTTTCACCAGGCATCCATGGTGTGCTATTTATAGCTGTGTAATTCACAGTAGCCTGTCAATTATCCTATAGGGCATTTCCTGACTGTTGCTTGGAGGGCAATGGAATATCCCAGCTGAATGGCAGCATTTGCTGTAACATTATGACACACTAGCAAATGTGATTTCATTACAGACTGCCTATGGCTGGAATGGAAATGTTAAGATAAGAGGGCACCAACAGCTTTTTGCCTTCCTCCTTGGTGCCAAAACACAGCTATAATGAATGGAGGAAAAAAATCTCAGCTCTCTCTTAAACAACATTTGCTTCAGTCACATTTTTGCTGGTTTTTTTTTACTGGGAATACAAAATGTGAGACATAGCCAAGGTATAATATTGAGGATATATGAAGTTTTTCACCTTCTGGAGAATTACTAGCTCTGGTCTGGCCAGATCAGAACATAAATAGATGAAGGCAAGTTTTCTTGTGCCCTTCTCAATGTATATATGACAGTTTTAAGATCATGGAATCACAGAATGACTTGGGTTGGAAGGCATTTTAAAGATCATCCCATTTCACCTTCCCTGCCATGG